TTCAGAAACTAATCAATACTGTGAAATATCCAACCTACCGTCACACACTACACCGTACAACTGAACTGGCCTAAACTCATTGTTGATTGGAGCAAAAGTTTACGGTATCATGTGGGATATCTTGTCACGAAAGGTTAAAATGCGATTAGTCCATCTCTCAATCCTTTTATAGATCTTTTACATCTGCGACACCTCGTTCCATACTTTCAGTAATACGTGGGAACTCCATAGCATAGAACAGAACATTAGAATAATTTGAACATTGATCTTCATAATCATTTTCCAGTTTCAATATTTGTTTCACTGCTTTTCCGAAATCCAAAGCATTGTGGTTCACAAATCATCACACACCTATGTCATGAAAATCTACTTCATTATTCCTCTAGTTCTTTATGCTACGCTCTTCAGTTCATTTTTTTTGCCGGATGGAGATCCTCACGTATGACACGCTTATAATTCAGTTTTAACACTCGGATTAAAGAGCTATGAGGACCCACCTTCCCATCTGAGACCAATTATTCATACCAATTTCTGTGTTATAGCCGATGTTTTTAAAAGCTCATCAAGAGTGCTTACTATCCCCATGATGCTGCATATCACACCAGATTATATCGGTATTTATGAAAAAAAGTAGCTCCTTATGTTATATTTATAAGGAGAATCTTTACTAAGGACAGTAAATAGCTGGGATGGACGTGTCGTTTTGGCTGTTTATACAGATAGTTCTATCAGACATCCTATCCATCTGCACCCTAGTATCGAACAAACAATAAGAAAAGTTGAATGAAATCTAGCTATAAAGTGATGAAATCCATGAATTGTAGTTACAGCAGCTCTTCCACTGCAATCCCCATTTGACTGAACAGGTGACTGTTCATATATTCTATTTAGCTACGGAGCAACTCAATTGCGAACCCTTCAGCATTGGTTAATTCTATAAAGCTTCACACTTTTATCAAAGTTTCCAGAATTATCCCAGAATATTACTTGTGAAAATCCTTTCCAGCTAGACAAAATAAATTATCAGAAATTGTTAGGCTACTACCCCGTGAACGCAGCTCGTAATATTGCGAGAAAGGTCAGTTCAAAGCTTCAAAAAGTCAGAATTAATTCTTCCAGTTTGATACCTCAGCATGCTTTGTACAAGCCGACGTTCAGCAAGTATTTTCTTCAGGAGCCGAAGAAAAATTAAGAAAAGCTTTTGATAAATATGGGAAGATAAACAATGGGCAGGTTGCTTTCATAATTCCAAGGTTTGAATCTGAAAAAGGAACAATGTAAAATAATACTAATCTTACAATTATGAACGAAAAGTTTTCAAAGGATCCCTAGGACGATCGAGCAGTTGGAAGAAGTTCATGATAAAACAGTTTTTCAATTCCATGCGTTCAGCTACCCAACAGCACATAATGTAACTGACATTAAAAAATGGCTACACACAAGGTTTTCATCTTAATGCTTCATCATGTTTGTCAATTTGTACAGTTCAACGACGAATAGCCTTATTTCTGAAATAACCAATTACGAAGATCACAATACACCTGTCTGGGAACCTATGTTTCTAGCTCACTCGTCTCTTCCATTTCATAATGAAACCATCTGGTACGGGATGAGAAATCAGGCAGCTCTGGTGAGTAACCTTTGAAATTAAATCAATGGTTGCTCGGTATTCTAGGTTTCACTGATGTGTTGTCTCAAATATAAATTCATCATCGTAAACAGCGTGTTCAACGTGCATGAGGGTGTACGTCGAATCCCATTCAGTCGAATTGTTCATCCGTATGAGCGTATTAGAGCGAAAAAGATTATAACTGTAATTCTACTTATTAGATTCTATGAGACGTTTGTTTCAGGCCTATTATATATCATTAGTAACCAGATATAACGACAGAGCAACTATGTGTGTAAGTTATGAAAACATAGATATTACTGGATAATTACCTTTTCAGTTAGGACACTTGTCGTATGGACTACAAGGGAACCAAAAAAGAAAAACAAGATCTTATGAATAGCAACTTCATTCAAGAGCACGCTAAGGGCATACATCGCTCCCACCATTTCAATACATCGAGACCTCACAAAGCGGTTGCATTAACTTAAAATTCAAACTACGATGATATAAATTTATAAAACTTCATAAATATATATAGACATTCTGATAGAAACACGACTTCTTGAGGGAAGTCTTAATTCTTGTAGTTCTTCTCGAACTCGATCATCCAATCTGCCAGCATCTTAGTGTCATCAAAGGAAACAGCATTGTAGATAGAAGCTCTCAAACCACCGACGGATCTAAATCATAGTTTTTTAGTTGGGAAATCAGTATCAACAAACCTATGTCCTTTCAGAGATATCATGTTTCTCTCTTGAGCACCCGCTAAAAACTTAGCTTCAAGCTCCTCATTACCATTAACACCTCCGATCCGGAAAACAACGTTCATCTGACTTCTATAGATAGGATCAACTCCGCAATGGAAAAAGCCATTTGAGTTTTCAATTATAGAATACAGCAATTGCGCTTTTCTCTGAATTGAGTACACTCATTAACACAAATCAGTGGTGATGTACCTGATTTTCGGCAAATATAGCTTCCACACCTCCTTTGTTTTGGATCCATTTCAACACTAGATTAGTTATGTAAATTCTGAAATTATTGTAGGTTTGAAGAATCAGAAAGTGACTCTGTACCCAAAAACAGTTGGTGTGTTATATAGACTATTGTTCTTAACCATTTCTTGATAACTCAGGATGGCAGGAGTCACAGGATTTTCCTGAAAATATGAATATGTTAATGATAACTGGTCCACTGGTTGAAATACCTTTCCAATGAGATCTTTACGAACCATCACAACAGTCAAACCGGCAGCCCCAAGGTTTTTTTGGGTTCCCCCAAAAACAACTCCATGCTTTAAAGAAAAAGTATAGCTATTAATCCTGATATATCAAATACATCAGTAAAATCGAATGGACGAGATAGGAAGTTTGAGGATATGTCAGCGACTAGAGGTACACCATGAGGGGAAACTGGTGGTTTTACAAATTCCACACCATCAACAGTTTCGTTAGCACAGTAATATAGATATGCTGCATTCTGAATAACAACTGCAGTGGTTTTATGCGAGAAATGATCTTACTTCATCATGAACCCATTCGTCAGATGATGGAACTGTTTGATATGGCTTCTTTGGAGCGAACACCTGAACAATGAAAATTCACTACATGGTGAAATCAAAAGAATAAACCTTTTTGATATCAATATACTTTGTAGCTTCTTGAGCAGCTTTTGCTGACCACGACCCTGTTATGGCATAATCAGCAAAAGTCTTATCACCTTTCAAGTTCAATGGAACAGCGGCAAACTGACCGGTCCCTCCACCTTGCATAAACAAAATTTCGAAATTATCAGGAACCTTCCTTAAATTTAAACAAAATTTCAAAGTCTGGCAGTTACAACTAACATCAGGCTTCTAATCAACTGCTTTGTTTCTTCCAGAACAACTCCAAAATCCTTTGATCGGTGAGACATTTCTAGAAGTAAAGGGTTTTTAAGAAGATTCAACAGCCTGAACTACCGAGAATGCTTACACCTGTGTTCTCGAAATGGAGAAATTCTTCTTGAGCATGCTTCAGTACCTACAGATGTACAAATAAGAGCGAACAAGGAAGATTGCAAACTTCATCAGGGATTTTAGCAGGACCAGCTCCAAAGTTAATTTTGCGTGTTTGAGCCATAACTTAGACGAGATGTTAGTAATATTTCTGAAAAGACCACTATTGAACACGGGTGCAATGGGTAAGAAAGGAAGAAACTATGTACCCAATTCGCACCCATAATCGATAAGAAAGGATGAAAATGCGAAGAAGTGGATCATTAATATCATTAAAATGGATCAGAAAATTCTTTTTTCGATCATTGCAGTTTGTAGTGAAGTTTTCAAAGTCAATTATTATTATTTTCATCATTATTGAATTAACAACAATTTTGAACAAATAGGAAATTCAATCAATAACTACAAATTAGAGAGTCGCGAAGAAGCGAGATGGGGGTTAGAAAGGTTAGAATTGAGCACAACTGGATAGCAAAAGAACACAATGAGCGAATGACCATAAATAGTTTGTTATCTTGACATTTATCACGTACAAAGGGAACATTTAGAAGAATTCCGTTTTTAACACATACAGTTGACTTATTTCGGCTGACAGTTATGCTATTCATCACGTAGGGATAAATGTGGGTTCCAAAACAATCTCGAAATCAACGAACTAACGGGAATCACATATTCCATTATCACCGAGAGGAAACAACAGAACATTCATTATTTTCAATTCATCCCCATACAAATTATTTGATGTGTTTTCAAATCCAAAATTATCGATTGATTGATATTGCTTAGCTTAGCGGAATGCAATTTCCTGGATACAATTCTATTTTGACAGTTTGATTACTAGACTGAAGCCCTGTCATAGTTCAGCTGATCATAAAAAACATCAAATTTGCTTCAAATTGGTAATTTTTGCGACCTTTCCAACTTTACAACAGAATGTAGACAATCGACAAGTCTTTTCTTACATTATATCATCCTTCCATCTATCTATTTGTCGTCATTTGTTGTCTTGCAAACTAATAATGAAGCTTTTCCTGTTGCTTTCCGTTATTCTATTCAATTTTTGGATACATTGTGAAGCAATCGAATGCTATTCGGTTTGTTTGATTTTCCTAACATACCCCATGAAATGTCATATCCCCTTTTACAGGGCTTGAAAGTAATCGCTGGGCAGGGCGTAGGAACTAACACAATTAACTGTGAGAATAGTGGAGCACAATGTTACAACATGACAGCCAATGCTGCTAATGTTTATTTGGACGTTGTAAAAACTGGATGCTCATTATGGAGATGTATGGTCTGTTAGTCCATGTAGGAAACGAATATCTATTTAGTTTTAGTTAGCTAAAGATCGTTGTATCTCCACTACATTCAAAAATATTCCCATAAGCTTATGCTGTTGCAGCGGCAGTCGATGCAACGCGGGAGGACAAATTGAAAAGTATGCTTTCCAAACCTAAACTCTCAGTTGAGAACTTCCAAACAAACAAACTATGATCATTAATACCACAGAAAAATGAAAAGCGGAGTGGAAAAGAAAAATAACAAAGAACAATTGTCTCATTCTTCTTTATATTCAATCTTTCCAGCAAAGGCAGTTTTTCTGGTAACAATGCCGAACCATCGGGATCAAATGATAAACGTAAAGAGGTTGGTTCGTTGCTTATATTTCTGTTGTTTTCTGTAATTCTTCAAAATTCGAAACAAGAAAAAATGTAAGCGTCCAGGACAAATTTCTCTTTATCTTTCGAATAGAAAAGAAAAACTTGATCCTAGATATCGCCTTTCTTTTGAACAACTAATTGCACTTGGCCCGGTCAATATCTACATGAAATTCCCTGATACATGTTAAGCAACAAAAAGTTTAAACTTTAAACGTCGCGCGCTTAGAATAGAGAACAAAGTTCAGAAGTATTCAAGTCTAAAATATCATATTTTACTATGCCCAGTTCCCAAAATCAAACAAAGATGTTTAGTGCTCGTGGATAAAGTTACGCGTATTCTCACGTATCACGTTCATTTTAATATACAAAATGACGAGATGCGGTTGCTCTACTATTATATTCTTAGTGCATCGAAACATTTTTTGCAGATCGAAGCGGAATTACGGAATGGCAATTTAGATGATGACAATAGTTTCCAATCAAATCGTGCTAATCGTCGTGGAGGATGGGATAATTGAGAAAAACAATACAATAAATAATCAAGAACCGTTTATTAACGCATAGTAACATTAGAGATTATTAAAATTACATGCTGCATAGCACAAGGAGATATGATACACATAGAAACTGAGCATTGGAGTCATGTGTTTGTGTTATGGTGACAATAGAATATCTTTTTTTTGTAAGGCGGGAAATATGAAAGGCACACATTAACATATGTTCTAAACAATCCAGCACCTATTAGAGTCACTGTAACAAGATGAACAATAAAATATTTAAATAACAATTATTAATCAAGCGGAGAACCTCCACGTTCGTATCGAGCTCGATTTAATGAAGCAAGTTGGTTGCGGGCAGCACGGAGCTCAGCTTCTTTTTTAAGAACTTGCTCTTGCGCATTCATTACTTGAGCGATACCGTGAACCATTCTATCCGTAATCACGAAATTTCTTTCGTCTTCCACAACGGTTTTACGAGCAGCCAGAACAAGTCGTTCTGTTGCCGTTTTAACAGCATGGCCAGCCGCTTGGAGTCGTCGTTTAGCCTGGCTCTCCATATCTGCTTTGACATTACAAGCTACCAATAGCTGAGCAGTTGAAGCAGCCACCTTGGAAATAAGGTTTAGTCTTTTTCATTTCTTGATAATTACCTGTTTCGCAGCCGAAATCAATTTCTCTTCTCCAGCTTGTCCTTGTACTAACGCGTTGGCAGCTTCACATAGCTGGTGCACTGCGGCAACAACATACCGTGCAGCACTTATCAAACCATCGGACCATTGATAATCATCAGCAGCATGAGCATTTGTTCTAGACTCCAAACGTCCTTGAGCGACTAACTCTCTCTGGGCATTGGATGCTGCCTTAACCAGTGTCTGAACAGCAGATGTGATCGATTTAGCTGCAGACAAAATCTGTTCATCGAATGCCAGATTTTCGTCGGCTTTCTGAAATTGAATAAGGATTAGGACAAATTTGGACAATGAGCCGCGCAAATTGACTTAAAGCTAGTTGAGCAATCCCATGATTGCAAACGTTGCTGGGAAACTATTTGTGCCAAAGCGATCTTCGATATGTCTAATAATCTGGTTGCTTCTCGAACCCAAGAATACCAGACATATCAAAGCTAACTTGGCCAAATGGAGGGGAAAAGGCTAAGTGAGAAAAAAAAGCAAAACAGAAAACAAACCAACCTTAGGTTCTAGTCTGGGACGTAGTTCAGCGAGCTTGATGGCAGCTGCATCAATAGAGCTAGCAGCTCCCATTAACTCATTTTCAGCAACAACAGTAATATCAGCTTGATTGACCCAATTGTCTCCAGTAAGTAGCTCTGTGCATCCAATAAGTTCTCGGACAGCTTGAGCAACTCCTCGAGAAGCATCCAAAAGAAGTTGACGAGCAGCCGGGTCAGAATTTCTCGTTAAAACATTATGCAGCGAAGCTAACAAACCCCTGACCTTAAAAGAAATGTCGTGAGCAGTACGATTAAATAAAACAAACCTGCGTAGCCACTTCTCTTCCAGAATCCAATGTTCGATAGCGAGCTTCAGGCGAATCAGCGTCTACAGCAGCGGCACGAGCTACAATGAGAAGCTCACTGACTGCTGCACGAGCGAAATTGGCCGCAGCAATGATGTCAGCTTGCTGCAATGATTGAGCAGCCTTCGCTAATCTCGTCGTAGCATCAGTGACCTTCTGGGTAGCTCTTGCCAAGTGTTCTGGAGTAGCGCCAGATGGTCCTGGGGCGCCGTCAGCTGTCTCATGGTCATAATGCTTGATTTCCTGACCAATACTTTCAATAGCAGCCTCTAAAGCTCGAGTACCCTGCTGCTGTTTATCCTCAACGCTTTTTACAGTTTTCAAGAGACTGGTAACATTCGTAACCATAACTTTCGCGGCTTCTTTCAAATTACCCATCGCTGGATCTTGTAAAGAGCGACCTGATGCGTTCTTGGTGGCTTGAATGAGGGCAGATAATGCGGAAGCAACATCTCGCACAGCATGGATGACAAGAACTTGTGCTTCAGCATTATCGCTAGATAAGCATACAGCGCCGTTCTTGACTGCATCGGAAAGATTGACAATGGTTCTCACAGCATTCTGTGCCGCTACTGCAAGCTGCTCCTGATTGGAGGCGGCGCCAGCAACAAGAGCTTTAGTATCTTCAACGAGAGCTCTAGCTGTGTTAAGAATGGCTTCCCTATGAGAATTGAAGTCTTTATGCTCTCCTGCTGGATTCAAACTTCCACTAGTTGCGAAAAGAATCGTAGTATCCAGATCTCCAATAATGCCAGAAACTGTGTTAGCGGCATTTATGCATGCTTGAGTTCCTTTCGATCCTTCATGAAGTGCTGCCAATACTTCATCTACACGTTCAATGACACGCTGGCACTGCTTATTAAGATCTTGATGAATTTTCTGATCTGATGGATGATTCCGACGTTGTCCGGCCACTTTAACAGCATCGATGCAACCAGTTCCTAGTTTTTGAACTGCAACTTTCAGTTTGAGAGCTAAATTAGCAGCTGATAACAATCCCACAGCATGATTGGATTCTATGGCAAGAGACCGATAGCGCTCTGACAAGTTAAGGGCTAAACTTCCAAGAGCTTGTGGCTCGGCGATAGGCATATCAGAAGCGGTACGACGAATGTCAGCCAAGCATTGAGTCATTTTCGTCTGGAAGTCAGCAAAACTTCCTTGTACAGGAGCTCTGGCTTGATCGGCACTTGCAATAGAATGAGATATTGTCTCAATCATCCCTTGAATGACTCCTTGATCTGAACTAATTTTTTGAACAGTGGAGCGCATATCAGCAAGAGCGTCTCTCAGTTGCGCAGCAGATTCATCAACCCGAGAGTGATGTTCCAATGCCTTAGGGTTTCCTCCTGAATCACGACAGGCATACATCATTTGAAGTTCAGCTTCTACCACTGTACGACATTTGTCGAAGAGTTCTGCTTGTTGTTGAGAGTCTACAGCAATTGCGGCTCCATCACAGGCGCTAGCTGCAAGTGGTTGAATAAGATTCCAATGTTCTTCCACACAATGAGCCAAATCTTCTCCTTTGCTGATTGCTGCTGTTCTAAGAGAATCAACTCGCTCAGAAAGGCTCTGAGTGGCATGAAGAATTTGCTGGTGGATTCTTTTTTCTGCACCACTTGATGTCACACTAGAAGGAGAACCAACGGACTCCAAAGCGCTGCGCTCGATGTTAACAATTAGCTGTTCGAGTTGATGAATGACTCGGTCCATTTCAGCTTGACCTGGGGCAGCGTCACGAATTCCTGATACAAGACGTTTGATGGACTCAGAAACATCTTTGCTGTTATCAGCAAGTCTCTGCCACACTACGCTATCTCTAGGAGCAACGGCGAGGTCTCTAGCTGTTTTGATCATTTCACAGCTAGCATCAAGCATTTGGCGACTTGAAGCGAGAACGGGAATTTGGGCATCACGTCCTGGGTTGCTGATTTTTGCAGGAACCGCAGCAAAATCAGGATTATCCACATATCTCTCAAGTTGATCCACTGATTCAGATAACAAACTAGCAGTTGAGGCACAAGCTGCCATACGTTCTTGACTTTTCTGCTCATCGAATTCACGCACAGAAGTTATCAAATTTGCAGTATAGCTCGCGATGTTTCTAGCACTGTTGATGAAATGTTTTTTAACATTAACATTCGTTGAACGATCAGAAGCTTCTCTGCAAAGGTTCGCCAACATGGAAGTATGTTTAGCAACAATTGTAGCATCCTAAAAATGAAAATATTAAAATTAACATTATATATTGCAAACACTTACATCTAGTAACTGCTCTTGAGTGTATTGTTGGCTTTCTATACGTTGACAGATTTGCCGAACTTGCTGGCAGTTTCTTTGTATTCTTGAAGCATCAATGACGGCAGTTTGTCCCCGGACACTCTTTGGATGAGCAACACCAACGAGATAAGCGGACTGGGAAGCAGATTCAGCCAGAGCACATAGAGCGTCAGCCGACGATCTCACACAAGTGCATAGAGCTCTAGTATCCATTGCTCTAGCACTTCGAGCTATCCCGGTCATGGCTTCCCCTAACTGGCGTGAATGTTCAGTTACTGCATCTAAGCTGCCATAATAACTGTTCTCATTCACAGGGAGGGTAGCCTGTTCCGTTAAATGACGAACAGATTGGATCTGCCGTAGGGCAGAATCGCAAGCATTTTGCCATGATTGCTCCTGGCTAACTTGAGAGACAATAGAACTCACTGTATCAGTGAAGTGACGAATGTCTTGGGTGAAGGTTGATGTGAGACTGGCATCGTTCGACACAGCAGAAGCACGCGAAAGCACAGTGATGGCTTCTTCACGGCATTGTTCGAGCTGTTCGATTTGCTGGGCTTTCTGCTCTACTGCAGCAGGTTGCGTTTTGATGGCGGCAATTACAGATGTGTGGAAGTCTGTGTAAGCCTTGACAAAAACATCGACAGATTCACCGTGAGCAGGAGAACGAATACTTGCTTGTAGCTGACTGGTGGATTCGACCAAGTTTGTTGCCGCTTGGCGAACATCTGGCAATCGAACACTTTGATTGATATTAATTGTTCGAATCTGTTGAATGGCTTTATCAATGCTCTGATTGTCTGGCAAACAGGCAATGACTTTTCGCAAACTTGTAGATACTTGTTTGGCAGATTCACTTAAGACGGGGACCTCTGCATTTTCACGAACACGATCGAAAACTCGTCCAGAATCGTGTACAACTGAACGGGAGTGAACAATGAATCTAAATAGATGGCATCATGAAATAATTATCTTTTGCAACTTACTCATCCAAATCAATGTCAGTTCGCGTACTAACAACTTCTGAAACGCTTCCGGCGAAAGATCGTAAACTCTGAGCGGCTTCTACAGCTGAAGCGCCTAAGTGCTGTTGGTCTTGCACAGAAGCTGAGCTAACGAGTTGAGCGATTGTACTTCCAACTTGACGGACGGCGCCCATCAAATGCGATGTGGATGTTTGAGCGGTCGAGCCACGTGATGGTGTCAGCATGCCAGCCTTAGCAGCCTTATGGGTATCAACGAGCTCCTGGTCCAATTCTTTGATCAGCTCTTCACTAAACTGCAACTGTTGGCTGAAGTTGAGTTGCTGAGCAGAGTTGAGAGCTGTTCTCAACTCCGCTAAGGTTGTGGACAATGAATTACTGGTCCGCTGAAGATTCTCAGCAATATTTGGTGCCGACACATGAGCAACTGCAGTACGAGCAGACTCAACAAGTTGAGTAGCTGGTTGTAAGATGTTGTGCGAATCGCGAATCAGACGACTTTGAGCTCGGAACTTATCACTAGCAGACGTAGACTGTTGAGAGTCCCTGATTGATGTAATCAGCCTGAATTGGAACAGTATATAGGATGACAAGTCTTAAAAATTACTTTGGTACATGTTCAGCTGTCTCCGTACATTCATATACCACATTCTCTACAACTGTCTTACTTTTGATCAATTCCTAAAATGAAAACTTTCAGTTTTGATTACAGATAATTGGAAAAGTAAGAAGCCAAGCATGATATGTTAGGCCATGAATCTTTGTTCTATGTTATGGGTGCGTATTATCTATAGGAAAGATTGTAGTTAGAAAGTAAGCGGAAAGATAAATCAAATAAGTTGGTTAGTACGGTAGGCTACTTCCCCAAGGGTAACCGGAGTGCACGGCACACATCGACTCACGTTTTGTCTGCCAATTCAAGTGAAAATAAAGCCCAGAAGTTCAGAGAGGAAGGGAAATTAAAGAAATATGAAACCATATAGTTTTATTGCTAGATACAATATCTTACATAGAATATACTTCTAATGAAGAATATAGTCTAAATCTCTTCTCAAAGCGCTAGCGCTAATTTCAATTAATCATTACTTCCTTTTTTTGAAAAAAAAGTGCGATTGTTTTTCTGAACTAGCATTGATTTCATAGAGAAAAACATAGAAAGGCAATGATATGTGCTCAAAAACGTCTAAAGAATCTGTCTAAGAGAGGCTATGTTCTGTTTAGAAGAAAGTTTGAGGTATAGAAACATCAAAATCATAAATAGATTACAGGCAGCAAACATAAGTAGAAGAAGCAGATTGAAAGGGCAAGAATTTAGCGAATACGGAGGATAGTGTGCGTGTCATCAACCAGGAGCTGTTCCGTAGTTTCCGTTCGTTTCCGTGTTTCCTGAACAGAAGCAGCCTACCGTTTTTACTAGACTAATGTGATTTTTTCGAGGATAATTAATTTTTCACGTGAGAGGGTAGCATGCGAGCAAAGGTAGGATTGGTAACACTGTTTTTTTTCAGTCGCAAAATCGCCATAGAAAAGTTAATTTCTTAATATGGCTATTTCAAAAGCTTATTACTATCACAAGTGTTCGAACTTAGGTTCTGAATTTTTGATAAAAAAAGACACACCTTGCTAGCATTTGTCGCAGCTATTGTTTGAGTGGCATCATAGGCGGTCTGTTTCGCAGCTTGTTCCAGGCGCTCCATGATATGCTTCGCTTGTCTCTCGCTAGTAGTCTCATTGGTTACGTTTGCCATTTGTTCAGCTGCGCGTCGTAGAGCTATTTCGGATTCAGCTTCAGAAGGTCTTGATTCGCATTCCTAAATTAGTGAATGTTAAACGTTAATTTATTAACTAAATACCCTCGTGGCTTCAATCATGTTGCTGGTTGCTGTAGCCACACGACGAGCAGCGTCCATTAAGCGATCTTTGTGTTCAGGTTTCTCATGAGCTTCTTGTTCAAATTGTTCCATAAGAACTTTGCTATGACGAATAACCTTCTTAGCTTCGCGCGTTAGATCTTCACTTGGTCCCTTAATAAATTGGACTTATTCGATAGGCTCTAGAAAATTCTAACCTGATGGGCAAGCATTCTATTAGTTGTTCTAAGTACGGCGTTATATTGCTCCTCCTCGGTTGTTTTAGTAATCTTAGGGCTAGACTTTACATGGTCTAGTAGACTGTCCAGAGCTTGAGTAACTTGTCTTGCAGCTTGATGAATATCTCCATAAGCTTGCTCCCCATTTCCACGTGTTCTAGTGCAAGCTATTTCAGCATCGTGCAAAAGCTCATCAACTGTATGAGAAACCTAAAATAAATGTGAATGAAAAGTTCGAAAGAATTAATGCATCTTCTCAGTTTCCAGCGCTAACCCTCAAATACTCACACACATACAAAACGATATTTTTATACAATGACATAGCTATTTTACTGATCATCTTACAACTTTACTTTTTGTTTTAATGATTTGAAAACTTACTTGCTTCACAGCACTCGTTAGCTGATCTTGACAGGCCTGTGTTTCGATCGTTGGAGCAACGACTCTGGCACATGCGACGAGTTGTGAAGTTGCGAAGGCACACTGAGTGGCACTATGAATGACATTGTCACGCAAATCATTATCTTCGCAATCAGCTGAGATTGTTTTCGCCCTGTAAAAAATTTGAATAAATTACTGTGAAAGTTAAGGTTTTTTGAGGAAGATTTTGAGGACAATCAAAACGCTCTATGTTTAATCTTTGATTTAATAAACATGTTTAGCCCATATTAGCTGATAACCGGGAACAGTTGCGCAACCACGCCCTTTTTCTACTTGATGTGTTGAAAATCGAAAAAGGAACAATGGCTATTGACAAGATGTTGGATGCAAAGACAATCCAATAGAAAGACTTAGGGAAACAGACAAATGCATATTTGAAGGCTACGATGATGTCATGAAGATAGAAGTGCTCGCCTAGTTAAGCATGCTCCAGGCTTTCTGTCTACTCTACTCTCTTGCCAACCTCTCTTCTCTAGCCATCGCCTGTGTTCCCTCCGTCTCTATCTCCCATTTCCACGCCCAACAACTCTTTCATAGCCCTTGTCTCTCACAATCTATCCTATTTCTTCTTTCTTAGGCAGGTACCTCTTTGAAATAGTGAGATTCAGAGGCGGCAAAGGCGAAAATCGACGAGTAGGTGGCGGCGGAGTGGCACTAAGTGCTGGCGTGCTGCCATAGTAGTTGAATATCTGAATATCTGTCACTACTTTTCGTCGTCTAGGAAACATGTTCTTGATTTCACTAGATAAGTTTATAGAACAGTTAATCTTTTAAATTTCGAAAGATTAAGTATAGTAACTCTGAGAGTTAAATATAGCAGAAAAGAATAGGAGACTAACAAGCTTGGCTCTAGAGGAGCAATGTTAGAAGAAAGCTTAATTACACGCGTTTCCCATATATGGGATATAAGGGCAGCAGACTAGTGTACGGATCTAGTCTTTCGCTGCTCGGTGCTGCTCGACAAATGTAGAAGCAAATTTAAGACCCTAAGGATCTGTAGGCTGGCAAGGCTGGCTAGGCTGACGGTGGGCTGACGGACTGATTGTCATTTTCCCATTTTCTTTAAAAGGGATAAAGCAGAAAGCTGCAAATCTTCCTTCACTTTTTCCACTCCCCACTATCGAGGTACCCATAAAGGAGTATGTTAAGATTTCTTCAAAAGAACCGGCTATAGTTCTCTTGCGACGGACAGATATTTATCTGGGTGATAAAGATGAAAAAACTTTCAGTCATAGACTATGACAGGATAATCAATAGAGAATCTTTCAAGTACAGTATAATTCGAAGGAACTCAATTATCCAAAAGTTTGTGTACTTATTTGAAAAGAAAACAAAGACCTACTGAGCTTCGAAGTAAAAAATTAAGTAGCCTAAGGACTAGATGTGTTTGCAGACAATAGCTTCCAAGCAGTAATAGTAGTCAGAGCAGCAGCCAATCGGTCGGCCAACTGCGGAGAATAGAAGGCTGCTGCAGACAGAGCTGGCCTTCGAATGACTATATATGTAGGACCGCCCACCAAGGGTATAGGAGGAGCTAACCGCTCTGGACTGAGCTGCTGCGGCGGCTTCTGCATGGCGAGGGTAGTAAGGCCAAATGAACAGATGTAAAGAGGGTGCCATGCTAGTAGAGGAGAGCATGCTGCAAAGCGAGAGAGTGCAGAGGTAGAGACAAATGCCTTGGTGCTGGCACAATCTCAAGGCCGATCGAACTGAATAGATGGCCTCAAGAGACGTGTGGTCCGGACGAATGAAGACCCACGAGATGCATGGCCAGATGTCCATTTCGTCTCCAATAAGCCTATTGTGTCTCTGAGCTCGTTTCTATCTCTTTTCGCTTGCCCGCTCTCTGGCTAACATATACAGCTGCCTATTCCTCTTCCTACATCCAGTCATCATGTCTGAATTCTCTGAGAAACTGAATGATTCTATCTATCTCTAACTTCGAACCCATTCTTCTAGTATCCCCAGAGACTCTACTCACGACTTCTGCTGCATTTACATAGCATCCATCAAGGGTCAGCAGCCTTTATAAATCTACAACCAACTCCCAGAGGACATATATGCCTATTTTCGGGGCAACAGTAGACGTTACATCTTTGTTTGAGAAAAAAAGTAGAATGGTGGAAAATGAGACGAGCCATCCATAGATAAAAGATGGAAAACGGACAAAAACGTACTGTAAAACCAGGTTAGCTGTACTGGTAGCAACATTCTTTGCTTTTTGAACCAGATTATCTTGGAATGTTTGTTCCTCATATGTCTGTTCATCCATTGTGTTGATAACTGTCTGAGAGAAATCTCCTACGCGGCCAGCGGCGGCAAGAACAGTTGTTCGACGTTCCTTGAGAAAAATTACAAATAAACGCATGACCCTCAAGATGAATACCTGTTGTTCTGGGTTCACCGCAGTTAAGAAATCGCCAAAGGCACCACATAACTTTCTAGTGGCTTCCAGAAGATCACCTCTGAAATTACGCAAAATCAAGAGTAGAATGCTTTATTACAAACCCTTTCCGTTCTTCCATAAGAGCAGCCAAATCTCGAACATTTCTACCGACGTCTGGAAGGTTCGATCCGATGGTCGCTATGGCTGTTCCTACACGTTCATCGTACTCTTCTTGAACAGCAGTCCATTGGACAACTTGAGCAGTAGCAGCTCCCATAGCAGCCAAACGCTCATTGACACTTTCCTTGTTAACAGCAACCTGTTCATCAATCCATCTTGAAAATTAATTTAAAAATAAATCATAAGTGCTAGTGAATACCTTCTAGCATTGAGATCGTCATGGAAACGAGGGATGTCAATTTGAGGTTCCTTACTGAGTTCTTCTTCAGCCTCGTCCACTGCTCTGATGGTAGCTTCAATAGTTCCAATAAGAGCACGTTGAGGTTGCTCATAAGTATCGATGATACGAGTACGTTGAGCCTGTAATTTAATAATTAATATGGTAAAACTCAGTTTGCAATGTGGAATAATATTTATTGTTCGAACTAGAGAGCATTACGTTCGAAGTTAACCCTCTCTCAACAGCACGTCTGACAGAGAATAGATTTCTATTGTGAACGACGAGTGTTTCCAGAAAATAATGAACAAATTGAGGGAAGCAATTAAATAAATTTAAAATAAAGATCTTGACCAGGAAATGGCAACAAAGACTATAAGCTCGTTGCCTCGGTAACAATAATAATTCATTCACCAATAGCTTGGGACATCTGCTATTACCCTCTGTCAGTTTCTCAACATCTTTTCTTCTATGATGTACACTACATCCTATTATAGGGCATCAAACGTTCAGCTTGAATTTGCCGAATGTTAGCCACTCTCCCGAACAAAGAGCTCTCAAAGCAGAATATGCCTCATTGGTCTCTTTAATCCCAAATACCAAAAAAATGTATAAGTGCATGGATCGACAATGAGTAGCGAAAGAAACGGCTTATATTGCCATCATACAATCGATCAGAGGAGGGTGTTTTTAAGTTAATTATATATATATATATATATATATATATATATATATATATAGGTGAATTTGTATGAGGATATGCAAACTAACGCGCTGTATCGATCCTCCTTGCACTTCTCCACTGACTGCTCCATACTGGGCACCATTTATTCCGTAACCATAACCGCTTTGTGGCGTACGAAGCACACCCCTTAGAGCAACATGTCCATCTTGGGCATGCTGTCCATTGCCAATTTGTCCATGAGAAACCTGAAATTTCATGCATCCATAAAACATATATTAGTTGTGAGTAATTTGCTCGAATAACTCAAACAGAATTTAAAAAAAAGAAAATATTCATACCAAAGTAGCTTTGGCAGGAGCAACCATATCCTCTAGCATAGTAGAACCTTCATCTCCTTCAATACCCAAGTGATCAACTGTTCTCTTTTTCAGTAGAATAATATCAATGTATCCAGCAATCAGTTGCTTGATTTTCTCACCATCGGGTGTTTGAACACAATAATATTGATCTTGATAATCACCGAAGTCCTTAAAGATTCATGTTTCAATCTACTTTCCATAAAGTTATTACCATTGAGAAAGTTTTTGGGGAGCAAGCTGTTCTTCTAACTTGTTCAAGAGGCCATTCTTTCAATACATCCTTTGTCTTTTCATCAACAAGCATAACGCATTCCTTATTCACTCCAAGAAGTCGTGGAATGAGTTTGTTCTTTCCTCTAACTTTGTCTGAAATAAATAATCCATAATATGGATTCACAAATGTTTTGGTAGAGCGTAGAAGAAAATGTTACAAACCTCTTACGACAAAGAAAGTAACTCCATAAGTTTTCAAGCCTCGGCAAAGCCTCACATAACGACTTTTGGCTTCTAGATCACCGGTTCCAACTAGTTCTTTGTAATTCTTAATTACTTTTCTGTCACAATTATGCAGAAGAAGAAACATACTCTAACGATGGTTTTTTCATTTTCTTTATCTTTTCCATACTCTTTAGGTAAAAGATCACGACCTCTGAAAAAAGTTTAACATGAAATAGTCGAAACGACAGAAGCTAGACGGAAAGATCGCACGATGATGGATAGTGGCTACAATAGGAACGGGAAAGGCTTTTCGGTAAATAGCTAGTTATTCTAAATATGGTGGAAAAGATTGCAGCCTGTGCTAGTTTCCAGCGCATTGGTGCGCATACAATAGAGGTTAAATCAGACGTGCACTGTTCACCCCCAGCTAGTTATAAAATTGGTAACTTGTATGTGTAATAATTTCCCCTGTATATGCATACTTTGAAATTAGAAGCAAACGAGAAGATGAATCATTGAGTTAGCTGGAGGATTAAATGTAATACTCATAGGACTACATTTTAAGAAATGAGAAGATTAAGCACTTTACAACGACGTTATCATCATCAGCGAAACATTTGAGGGTTTCGGAAGGGCTTTGGGTAATGCTTATTTGGCATGGCTTCAAATACAAGTCTTCAAGAATATAAAAAAATAGTATGCTTTTCAATGAGAGGTCTGAGCAAGAATAACAGAAAAGGAAACGAAACGAGACGAGAAGAAAATGCCAGCTGGCACTATCGATCTTACTGCATAAAACAGCACAGAGCAGTTTCCAATGTCCAAAGAGTAAACAGAAACAGAACAATTTTGAGTAGAAAGAGCTTCAATTGCGTTTTACGGAATTCACCAACTCTTAGTTAAGTTCTATCTCTCATTTGTTTTGCGTTTCTTTTATTTCGTCGCTTATTCCCTTTTAAGCCAAAACGACATTACTCGAGTTGTAGACTGCTTATGATTTAGGCAGCGTTTGCGGAAAGAAAGGAGAGAGAGGGAAAACGAAAAGCACTCAACACGCAAATTGCTCAATTGAGGGCGCATAAGCGAATGGGCTTTCGGGAAAAGAAGGAAGATGCGAGCGAGAAGCTGCCACTGGCAACTCGATTGAAGCGTGTCTCTACAAAACACCCAAGAAAACTAGATCCATAATATAGGGACCAAATTTTCAAGGAGCAGCATGAAACATTTTTCATTCTATATTCAAACGTGAAGATTTTGAAAAAATAATGGAAAGGCGAAATCGAACGGAAAACTAAGGAGTAGGGAAGAACGATCGATAAAATAAACTCACTCGATGTGAAACTTCGGCTTATTTTCTGGGAAATCTCCATATTCAATTTGGCATTGGAGGGCACCCAACTCACAAGCAGTTTCTTTAGTGACTGGATGAAGACCCTTAAAAACATTTTCATTAAAAAAGGATAGCTGATGAAAAAATACTCTTAACACGCCATCTCTGCACTGTACATATAGTAAATTTAATTGAACCGGATCACGGCAATCCACATTGGTGTCACTGTAACAAAAGATTATTCTGATGAGTAAACCATCCCTTTCCGCTTTTTTTTTCAGGAAATAGCATGAGAATTCGAAAAACTCGATAAAGTAAAAATTTACCTGAAGAAAAACTTTCTCCGTAACAAAAGGGTTTCATCTTCATCTATTCCCTGCTCTCTCAAGGTTTTTGTGTGCTCTACCCAAGCCAACTCTTCATCAGTATGCAACTTTTGTCTAGATAGAATGAAAGTATGAACATTTGAAAAACTGTTAGAATACCTCAGTTGTTCTACTTTTTGTTCTTTCTTTCTACCGAGAGTTCCCATCATATGGCCTAGAGGACCCTTCTGTTTAGGCATGGTATCTCCATCCTGACGGGTGCGTTCCTCACGCAAATTGACAACCGATCCTGCCACACCGTCATCTCTAACCTGGAACAATTCCAACTATCACTCACTTGCATACTCCAAAACAAACCAAGCTATATTCTTCATGATTAGCAATTCCAATTTTACCACATATATTGAGCATAAGCTGTCCCACAGGAAGACTTTCGTCAACTGGAATCGTCTTAACGGAACAGTCAAGCATGCGAACTTTTAGTAATCTGATCTTTCTTTTATATTCAACGCGGTCCTAAACACAGCTTATCATTGAATGGGCAAATTACAACAAAATTACTTGGTTGCGCACTAAGTAATGTTCTAAGGTACGTCCGCCGTCCATCCATACTCCCTTGGTGTTATCATCTTCGACACGAAATAGTCCATACTCACTGGCTGTAAACAGAAAATATAAAAATCTTAACTGATGCGACTCTGATTTAATGCGACCAGCTATATTGAATGACAGAATAGAAATGAAAAACTGAGCATCTGACACTCCTCTCTTTTTCATTTTATTTTGTTCTTTCGGTGAACCGGTTGTATACATGAATGCATTATTTGAACGTAATTTTGAGAATAAAACTTGACAAAACGCCGTGAGTGCCAGTAATATCAAAAGCTCTAATTTCCGTAATTGAAAGACTATTATGTCAAATAAGAGCGTTCTTTGCGTGGGAAGAACCTAGCGAATTTTGAATAAGAGATAAGCCCAATATTTCTCGCGCGAAAACCCAAATTGCAAATGTAGTTAGTAAATTGCTGCCAGTTTCTATGGGTACGAACCCGACAATTCAATTTCTGCTACACCAATCACGGCTTTATAGGAAGCAGGGGACTAGCATTGCGCAAAGAATTTTTTTACTATCTGAAGAACAGTTAAAATATAGCTATTTATCCGATTGCGAGTTTTGCTTCACTTTTGCTTTCTTCAACGGGATCCCTCACCACGATGAAAAAAAAATAATTTATGAAAGACAAATTCATCGCCTACTGTCAACCCTCATCTCTAACGCTTTTCAATGCAAAGCTAATTGTGACATGATCCATACACGCAAGGACATCATTGTCATTTTATGAGACTGTTCTCTTTATTTAAAAATATGGGCAGAGTTAATGTAGTCTTCTCGTCTCATTTTAAATGCTTCTGCCAGGAACATGCGGCTCCGAAAATCGATCGCTTTTTTTTGTGCACTTCAGCAACGCTTTCTTTCAAGCTTCCTATCTTTCCATCTTTCGCTAAATTAGAGAGCAGGTTCATCTATTCTTTTCTACGATTGGAAGACGTGCAGAATTACTCTGGGGACTTGAAATATGCATAAGTGTGGAGAAGCCAAGTTAGTTGATGTGTTGTCCTTCGGGAAACATTTCGGAATATAGGAGATAACTCATAGCGATTGTGTGATTCATATATGACAATCAAACGATCGGCATTTTAAACAGCAACGAAGCAACTCACGATTCGTGTTCTGTAGACCCATTTTATCCCTAATAAGTTTGCAAGCATCAAATACAAGAATTGTAGGGTCAAATTGCATAGTTTTCTTCAACCCCCTTTCGGAGGATATGACATTTAATGTCAAAACTCCCATAATGATGGGCGGCGGGTATAAATCTGAAATTAACAAAAATATTTTCATTATGTACGATTCAAAATGAGGAACAAATAGAAAAGATTAAGCTTGCATGTGAACTAAACCAAAACACAGTAAAGTAGATCAAAATATACAAAGATAAAGAGATATAGAAGCATCATAGCACAGGGAATGATGGTGAAAACAGCTTGGGACGTTACAACGCAGAACGCCAACGCACCACAGCTGCCAAATGTCTTGGCAAGATAGACGAAAGGAAGTTTCAGAAGAAAGAAGAGATGAAAACCAGCAAAAGTCATTGGAGGGATTTTATGAAAAAATGAATGGCAAGCGACCAGCGAAATTCAAAGAAAAGGTACAACATTTATGTGGTGCATGATAGAATGGTTTGGGATCTTGCACTTTCTGATCAGGAGATTCGATGGGAATATCTGTTTCCAAAAAATGTAGTTAAATATCGAAATTTCTCATTCACACACACTGTCTTTCTCTGTTCAAAATCAAAATAAAGAGCAATAAGGTCAGTAGATTGTACTTATAGCTGGTTTAATTGAAGGGAATCTAAGAAAGTGAGAGTCATTTAGGTGCTATTAGTATAATCATTCATTTTGGAGGTTTCACAGGAAAAAGAGAGAAAAGATGACAGATGTAGATGATAACATAGAAACAAAGGTCAGTAACCACAATATTTGATCTCAATTAACTAGTTAAAATATAATTTTAAACAAATAAGGAAATTATGTAGTACAAAGAAGATTAGGTTAAAAGATGTAGAGCAGTTTACTTACGCGATAACAATATGAATAGAAATTCAAATAAAGATTACAGATGATGCTTATGAGAAAAAGTCGACAAAATTTCACAGATATCAGCAAAAAGTTCGAGACAAACCATACTCATTCATAGATATTGATTTTGAGAAACTAAATGGACATAGATGGCTGTATCGTCAGACATAAGAATATGGCGAAATAGATAGTGAGGGAGTAAGAATAAGCTTTGATTGCTCTATCATAATTAGTAAAAGAAAAAGAATTGAATAAAGATGAAGAACGACAAATCGCAGTGAAGTGCTCTGTCCACACAGTCCTTGTCGTGATGACCACGTTCGAAAAAACAAATTGCCCTGGGAACTTGGCTGATCAAGTAACAATGAGGATAAGCTTTTCTGTGTGGATAGACAAACAGCACATGTAATGAACAACAAACGGCATCACAAAAAAATGATTAATTTATAGTTCTATGCTGATTCAGTTAAACACAGCGTTAGATGCTCAACTCGTAACAGTGAAAACGAGAGTCAGGCGGGTAGAGCAAGTGTTAGAGACGCACACAAAAGGGCTATACAACCTTCGGCCAGAAAGAAGGTCATCATCTTGCACAGGGCAAAGGATATTTAGAGGTTAAATATCATACGTACTTTCTATTAATTAATTTGTATTATTAATACAGCAGTTGAATGACAACGGCATTGCCAAACACGGCATCTCTTGAGTTTCATATCCAGCTTTACAAATGAATATTTGAATACTCTAGAGCTATCTGGTATATCTGAGACGAGTACCGGTACATTAACTTCTTGCTACAACAAAAGAGAAAATACATTAATCATTGTATATTAGGAAGACATAAATATTGCTTAACAACATAGGGTTAGAAATCTGAATGTTGTAAGTTGGAAAAAATCAAATATTGAAAGAAATTGCTGAGTCATTTCGATGATGTAGGAATCACAATAGAGAAACGTAAGTTTTCAAACATTTTGAAATAAATTCTTCTAAACAAAAATAAAAATAACAGAGAAAACTGAACGCTGAAACACGTGGAGGAATCATATGAAGCCTACGCAACTCGAATAATGTATAACGTTTTTAGCTTACAAAACAAATAAGTAGCAAAGCAGAAGGTCATATCCTGAAGCCGGCGAATGAAGCAGAGAAGAAAGAAAACTAATGACAGTCTACTTTACAACAAATGATCTCCTCCTCTCCTGTTCCTCCTGACCTATCTCATCGTCTAGTTTCTCTCGAAATTCGTTAGGAAATCGCAGGCTGATCTGGACAGAAGTGAGCGAATAAGAGCAAAATGAGCAGAAGGGAGCACACACCAATCAACAATATGAAAGCAACGATTCAACAGATGTTCAATCATTTCGTCTACTTGTTGATCAATTTATTTTCATTTTTTTCGAAAGTTTGAAATTGGGTTTAAACTGAGAGTCACGCATGAGAAAGTGGAAGTGTCGTGTTAATAGATAAGTTGGGATGAGGAACTGCTTAGTAAACCTTAAAGATTCAAACTACCCTGGTAGAGAAAGCTTTATCACCCGGCAAAATAGTAGCAGTTGTTCAAAATATCAAAATCCACGATCATTTCATTGCAGATATCAATGCCTTGTATTTCAAACTTTACAATTCTAAATTCAAATCAAAGTATAGAAAATTCAAGAGTCAGAAGAACATACGGACATTCAAATGACCATGTGGCCCGGATTGTGCTCATAAAATGCTTGTTTCTATTACATGAATAGAATGCTAATTATTTAAACAATATAAATCTCTTGGAGCAATCGTCCAAGTCGGTTCTATCTCATGGTTTCAAAAGGAAATGAAACAAAAAAAAATGACTAAATGTTATAGCAAACAGGAAAAGGGTACAGCTAATATATATGTTATAGCTGAATCGATGATATTCGGTCAGAATGTTTGCTTTCACCCTATATGGACAAACAATCAACGTTCCTACGTGGTTCTTTTAGGTTGAACCTTAGACAAATTCTCGCAAAAAGAAGGCTAACAAAGCGAAACGAATCTACGTTGAAAAAAATTATTAAAGTACTTGAAACGTTAGGAACCATTGAGGAAATACGTTAGGGTTCAATTTTCGAAATACGCTCCAAAACTTTGGCGCCAAATAACAAAAAAACAAAAATAGTGCTGACAGTAATTAGCATAGACATAAGAGACTATTGTATTTCTCACTCTTGTTTTGTGTTTCTGTAGTTTTACTATTGTCTTTGATTTTTTCCTAAACATGAGGGAAAATATTGTTTCCAGTTCATTCCCTCCAGTTGATGTACTCTTCTGTTCATGCACGTTACAGTGCACCTTCTTTCGCATTGAGCTTATAATCAATTCAATTATTTCAACAATGAACTCAGTTGACTTAAGCTAGTTCTTGATTGGAGCTGTAATAGCATAAGGACGTGACAATTAGATGTATGCGAAATTAAATGAACGGCAGCTGGCAATGTCCGAGTGTTTATTAGGTAGTAATGTACGTTTCTGTGTTTTTTTGTTGTTGTTTCAGAGATTACTGGTTCGAGACATAACAAGTTTATGAATGTGTAAGGTATGAGGACAATATAGAATAGAGTATGTATCAATATATCTTTAGGAAAAGAAATCAACGTCAACCCGAGCATTCATTGAATACGTTCAAAATACTTGATGTTTCAGGGTTTCTTCTAAATTGGAAGAACGAGATGAGAGTTCGATTCAATCGAAAGTGAAGCTCAAATAATTTAGAAACTGAATTGAATTGGCTGGAATAACAGGACAAAGTAAGTTATCAAAATTTCTTTGAAAATAATTTAAGTTTTCTTGGAAAACAAATTTTCAATTCACGCAACTTCAACTATCAAAGTGTTGTTGTTACATCTCGGAGAAGAAATTCAATAGAAAAATTTTTTTGAGTTGAAGGTGGTGTGTTACTTACGAAAGGTACAAAAGGGAAAGGATTAAAATGCACTGGAGTTGAGGGAGCTGATTCATCAGAAGAATCTCCTTCTGGTACTGATAATCCCATGTGCCTTCTCACCTAAACGCTTATTTCAGTCAGTGTTTTATTCATTGTTCTTTTACTTTTCTTTGTGCTCTTCGACGACGAAAGTCTCCTCGTTCAAAATCACGAACACAAGCTGGGTGAACAGCCCAGTAATGACCCTAAAAAATAACGTTATGAAACATAATATCAATTATTCGAATGATTGACGTATCAGAACAGTTGCATTATCTTTGTATTGGTTTAAATTTTAATTGTAGTTTTATAGAGCTACAACCTTGCCGTTTGCTGCCCTCCCTGCTTTTATAAAGCAATCGTTTAAGCTCAAATTGTGACGAATGCTGTTTCTCCATCCAGATCCTCTAGTCCGAAAATATGAGTAGCGGCACATGATCCATTCATATACCTAAAACGTAGGTTTGTCTTTGTGCAAGATTGCAAACTGTTCGTTACTTCGGAAAGGACCATTTTTTTCTCTGGTGATGATAAAATTGCCATTGCTATTAAACCAATGTATGAATGTTGAGGCTTTGGTTGATCTAGTATTGGGCAACCGATAGTGCGGTCAATCCATGAACGGTGATGTTCCAGAAGACGAGTTAACTGGTTGCCTGCGCTAGTCTCAGTTTCGGAATTAGTAATAGGTTGGTTTAAAGCTAAGAAAGTACGTTGATACTCTCGAACAGCCTCAGCACAAAGATCCATTGGAACTGAAGTTTGGGTGGATCTGAAATGAGATCATTACTAAAAGAAGTAAAGCGAAAGAAAATTCAAACGTTTCCAAGAAAAGAAAGTAAATGAAAACGAGCCAGACAGGTGATGGCAATCCCAAAGGTGAGTGGATAATGATTGTCAGAGAACTCTATATGGTTTGAAGGAAACAATTTTGGTGTATCGGATGTAGCTACAAATATCTACACAAACAGGAAGCATATTCGAAGTATTAGAAAAACAATAGACATGTTCCAACAAATAGGAACGCTAAGAATATAGCCGAATTAATAAGAAGATAATGATTTTTCAAAACACCAAGCTAGAAAAAAGCTCTAAAGGAGTTTGCGTGTAAAGAGCTAAATGAAACAACGAAATGTTGATAGAGTACCTACATAGCTGAACAGCTGTATAACATAATGTCTATAAGCTTGCCAAAATAGGTTTGTGAAAACAAGAAAATTTACGAGATCCAACTTTGTGTTATCGCGAGCTTACAGTAGTTCAGGAATACATCCATCCTAAACAAAACGGAAAGATGAGAGATTACGGACGTTCAAGAAACCGAAGGAGCAAATCGTTATAGAACACTAATCTGTGAGTGAGAAGTGGAAAGGGGCGTTGAGTTTTGAGTAAACTAAAGAAAGCTTTGTCTGGATAAATCATATTAGTTCGAGCATACGGTAATCAACCGAAGAGCGCTGAATTCAATTGCTTGACAAGAGCATTTTCATCATGCTCTGATTGTTTGACGTGGTGAATCGTTCGTTTTAAAACGGATAATACAACAGTCATACCGAAAACATAAGAAATTACTTAATCTGATCATATTTATTAAAACAATAACTACACATATGCTGAAAACCATACGCATGATAATATTGCCAGAAAACTAATGCAAAAGTAACCGTAATATGTGAGATAGGAATAAATAACTGCGACACTTGTATTTATAAAGTACTATTTCAAGCTTTAGTGATATCTACATATATTCAATACTTATAATTCGGTCTTCAACACTAGTTCCATCAAGAGTCATGCGCATTCTTTCAGCATCCTGGAAAAAAACAAATGTTATTCGATGCTCTTGGTGTTCACAAACCTGGGATCTTGTGAATCTTATACGGGCGCAACCAGGAGCAATCATTTCAACAGTATCCATAGTGCCAAATTGTAATACCCTATCTCGTACAATTTGTCTAGTGTAATCATGAGGTAACTAGAAATACATATTCTAATTTAACCCTTTATTGTAAAACTTACATTTTTAATGAGTACCCAAGGTGAAGAGTTCTGTCTTCCATAAACTCCTGGCAACTCTTCAAAAGATAAACTAAACGTTTAATCATAAATGGATCTTCTCACCTTGAGATCCATACTGAGAACCATTCATAAGATTTTCGCTACTTACACTATTACCGAAACCTAATGCTGTATTAAGCGTATGTCCGACGTTGCTACTCATACGCCCCATGTTTTGGGAGCCAGATCCCGAAAGTGCATAACCAGAGCCTCCACTAACACGACCTTCCGGCATCACTCTGTTACCATATCCCATACTCGACAACTATAACAATTATTTGTTCTCAATGATTTTTGTCTATCTTACTGAAGAATGTATTCCACCTCTGGCTAGAGATACAACAGAAGCAACATCTTTCAATGGCGCACCGTCTGCCCCTAACCCCATTCCTATAGACATCAAGCCTTTAGGTAATCCTCCTGGGTGAATCGGTTCAACCTTCAATATTAATATGATATAATACTGTTTCAACAGAATAAGTGTACTCACTTTTTCATATTGATCCATCTTTACAGCTAAAGTTCTATCAAAAAGCCTCTGGCCGTTGAACATTGAGATCGCCTGTACAGCTTCGATAGGATGGGAATATTGGACAACGCAAACTCCCTTAATATATAATAAGGACAATTTCGTGAGATTCATCTTACTTTACTACGGCCATCTTTATCTAAATGTAAGTCCATCCAGACGATTTTTCCAGCCAAGCCAAATATCTCATATAGACGGCCAGTACTCAACGTATAAATCAACTGCAATAGTAAGCAATGATATTATGATCAACAGTTACTGTACACTACATTAGCTATGAAGACTCGATCACACAGGGGAGGTTCGATGTTCAACTTTCTCAAAAACTCCGGGCTTAATCCGAACAAATCGAAAGTACCAGATCTCTGTGGACGATCACCAAGAACTTCTTTTACCCCACGTGCCATATAATCAAATCCTGTTTCCTCTTTGACTTTCCTCATAAATGCCGCGGGGTCCTGAACAGAGAAGTTAAGGAAGAATGAAGCAGGATTCATACCCTAATTTCTTTAATATTTAGATTTCGACCTTTGAACTCAAATCTGGCAAGATTTTTGACACAATCCTCAGCTCCCTGTCTTGTTTGGAACTCTACGATGGCACAGCCTTTTGGACGACCCTCACGATCCTCAAGAACTTCTGCGAAGATTACCTGATAATTTAAAGAAGTAATTTGTAAAATAATAAATTTTCCCACTTCTCCAGCTTTTTCTCTGAGAAGGGTTTTTAGCTCGACGCGTCGGACATCGTATGATAAATTAGTAATATAGACCATTCTATCATTTCTTTCTCGATCAACTGAAAAATAAATGAGAAAAATTGCAAAACATAAAACTTCAAGAAAATCCGAGAAACTGAAACATCAACAACTGATCGAGGTAAAAACAAACCTGTAGGCTTTTGTCCATTTCTGTTTGGGCTACGTGATCTACTCCTATCTCCCTTATTAACACCACCACCTCTACCAGAATCTGCTCTACCGCGGGAACTACTCCCCCTCATCTGAATATTCAAATTAATTTTTCAAAAAAATTAAGTCAAAACTGAAAACAACCGAATACGCGATTAAACTTGAAATCAAACTTCAAATTTTGTGAGCTTCCAAAGTCGACCCTTCTCAACATCACTACAGGACCAATGAGAATTTTAGACCTTTATTCAATTCAAATAGCCCGCAATGTAGGTGTTAGCTTATTACAAATGGTTCGATATTTAAATGTTTTAAAACATACGGATGAACAAGTTTGATTGTACACTAGCAATGGATTTAAATTTCACTGATATATCTGATGATGATGATATTGAAAATTCAGGTCCTAATTACGCAAAAATCATCAAAGAGGTATTCACTGCGGTGCACCGATTTTTTTGATTATGGTATATTTAGGCAACCGTAAGGAAGCCACTCACACAAACCAATAATATATTGCAAAATGATAGGTGAAAAAGTTAAAACGTAAGAATTTAACAGTTTGGTATAGATATGGAGTGGATACGTTTGTGTTCAATAGCTTAGTATGGGGTAGGATTAAGCCGAAAGAAGATGTTTTGTTGAGGCCGGCGTATTTGAACGACCCATATGAAGAATATGGAGATATCGTCGACTCGATACCGGTATGTTTTCCTTCCTCACTTGTCTTCAAGCATTAACATTTCTCAGAGGTTAGTAGCTAAGCCCGCGTCGCCCAAAGTTCCTGAGGATGAACTACCATCTACTATGGCTAGTCGACGGGATAGGATTCTTGCTATGCTAACTCCGTGAGTTTCTGATTGAATTCTCGTTGTTGAATCATTCTAGCGTTCATGAAAGCTTTAAAAAAACCCAAACACGAAGAACCGATAGTGAAACAGGCAGTGATATAGTTGAAGAAGAGGAAGAGTATGAAGATGAGGATGAGGATGAGGATCAAGATCAAGATTATGAATATATTCATGAAGAAAAATTACAATCACTTGTGAAGAAGTTGAATGTTTCACAAAATGATAACTTCACAAGAAAACCCCGATCAGAGAGATTAAAAGTCAATTCTAAATCTACTATCGATGATGAACGCAAAAAGAAAAGAAAAATAGGTATTAATGTTATTGATTAAGTTTTGAACTTCTTGTCTTTTCTAGAGTTCGACGATGATCAACCATTGATTTTCCTATTACCTGAACATAAGCGGAAGATTTATGAATGCCGGATGCCTCCGACGGATACTTCAGTAGCGGAAAACCCCGAAAGTCCAGATCAATATTCTGAAGATGAAGACCCGCCAAGAACATCTAGTAGAGTTTTGAGAGAACGTAAGCCCCGTTTCAACCTTTCAATTTTATATGAAGATTCCGATGCTGAATTAGGTGAGGCTATGCTTTTTTAATTTTAATTTTTAATCTTTCTAAATATTCTACAGAAGAACCTCAGGTCTTGAGTGAAACGGAAACGAAGACCCAGTCTGAAAGACTGACTCGATCATCCTCCCGGAAAAAGGCTAATGAGAGCTTGGTTCAAACAAGAAAAACTAACAGTTCTACACCTTATCCGAAATCCAATACATCGAGGAAGCGAAAAGCTGATTATACATCTGACAGTTCAAGTAAGAGGAAATTTGTTGTATTGAGAACGGTAACCTTTGCAGTCGAAATGTCAATTTCAAAACAATCTAAGTTCACAAGTCAAGATGAGTCAGGTAATCGTACTCGTAAAATGTTATTTGAATACTTATTCATAGATGAAGATGACGATGAGACCCTAGACTTTTTCATTAAACGTAAGAAGATAAAGAAAAGAATTTATTTTTCCTCTGAATCAAGTTCAGAATAATTATATTGAGATACGTGTATGATACGAAGTTCTATTAGTTATATTAGCATGTGTTACCTTTGTCACGATTTCAGGTTTCATTTTCCACAGTTTTTGAATATTGAGTTTTCTGTACATGTTGTTTGTTGACTCTCTATTATGCGAATATGCACTCATGAAGTGCTGATCTCTATATTTTTCGAGCTTTTATTTTGATACAATCAGTGAAGAAAGTATATGTGAATATGTAATTTTCCGAAATTAAAGTGTTTTGTGATCTCATATTGATTGTAGTTGGGTTAGTTCCCTGAAATGCCGTATAGCGATGGTTCTCGAGCCGTTGTTACACTCTATCTGCTATTCTCCCTCCTCTTTCTTCCTTTGTATTTTCGTCGTCCTCTACGCCCTTCTCTTCACTTGTATTTATCTGAAAAATCTTTTTCGATCATTGCAGAGTTCCTTTTCGTTGAAATATTTTCTCCATGAAAGCGAAGTCAGCACCTACTCCACAAGGTTAGTGTGCTATTATTAATCCGAATTTTGATTATACCTCCACTACAGGCTTGACCAATATCATGAAAGGTCTGGAAGGACTCTCGCTTGAAGATAAAATAACCAAACTAGCAAAAAGACTATCTGAGGTAGAAGAAGAGAACTTCAAGTTGAAGGTTAAATCAGTTGAAGTAAGACACGTCATCGAAGTGTTTGATCAAATTTCAAAACAATGCTTAAGGCTGATAAGGCTCAGAAAAATGTTGTAGCTGCTGAGAAAAAACTCGATTCTGCTAATTTCGCTCTGTTAAAGACTGATGAACAGAAAAATAAGTTGGAAGAGCTGTGTCGACAACTGCAAAAATATAATAAACAAGTGAAACACATTTTCTTCAATCCAAATAATTTCTTGTACAGTTAAGAGATGAGAACACACTAAAGATGAAGGCAATAGAAGAAGAACGACAAGGTGCTGTAGAGAATCTAAAGACAACATTGAAGGTTTGTTTATTTGTTCAAGATAATACGTTATATATTCTGGTCAGGACATCGAAAAGTCCATGGATGAAGGTCGCGAAAAGTCTGTTGAACTCGCTGGGGAAAACAAAAGATTGGCAACTAAGCTTCTCGAGCTGAACACCGAATACGATCAACGTTATAAAGCTATAGCTGAACAGGTGAAGAGAACACTCCACCACATGCAATACGCTGTTCCAGTACGAGAAGAAGGAAACATACATAATGGAACTACAAAAAGCTAAAGACGCCGAGATTAAAGTTTTACACACCAAACTGGAGGCAGCTAAATGTCATATTGAAGTGACACTAGATTTTGTGCAATTTTTTGAATATTTTTTTGTTCCAGAAACTCATATTGGAAAAAGAGGAACTTCAGAGAAGTTTACTGGAGGGTTCAGCCAGAGTTGGTAGTGCTCTAGAGAATGAGAGATCTCTCCGAAAAGAGGTTAGTCCTTAAAGTTTTTAGAGTTTAACAAATATGTTCTTTTTAGGTTGAACAGTATGCTTCCCGATATCATGAACTGACCAAAAGTCTCTCAGCGAGTAATGAAGCTTTCGACAGTTTTAAGACGGAAATAGCCAAGGTTTTGTATTAATAATCTGTTGTTAGTCACGAAAGGTTTCTGTAGGTGAACACTAACATGAAGAGAGTCGAGAATGATTCCAGAAAGTGGAAGCAGATGTACGATGAAGCCACCAAGTACTTTATTCTGCCCTTATTTGTTTTTCATATTTGATTTCAGTAATGTTCTCGTTTTAACTATGGGTAAAAAAGATCTTGAAGACGATCTTGCTGCTCTAAAAAAGAAAAACTCCCAGCTAGAGCAACTATGTCGTGCTCTGACCACTCGAGCTCGGGATGAAGGAAGAGTTGTCGACGAAGTCAATCCAGACAGTGGTGATGCTAGTGCATAATTACCCCTATGTGTTTGATCTCCTTTTAATTAAATAAAATAATTTATGACTTCTGATTCCTTCTTTAGGTGGCATGATGCTCGTTCAAGAACGATATCTCAACCGAAGTTTACTGAGAGTATTCCCTCTCGTCCAATGTATTTCAGCAAAGTCATTCAATTAACGAGGAAGGACAACAAAGGACAGCTTCACTTTTTTACAGATTGAGGGTGGAGCCTGAGCAGAGTCTAGAGCAAGCCGGTGTATTGAGAGCTAAGGGCTGCTGAAAGCTGCATCAGCTCTCCGTGGCCTGCTCTCTCATCGATTTTGTTTATCGTGAGAGGCTGAAAGAGAAAATCCAGATGAAAAAAAGAGTGGGGTATGAAGAGAATGAGAGAAAAATAATGCCAGAGAAAGAGTATTGTGTGGGAGAGATATATACTGCCACAATAGACTAGCTAGCGAGCAAGCCATCCTGACGACTATCTACTACTGACTCCGCTCTTCGTCCTCTTTTCTTTTCCTCTGCTTCGTCATTTTGTTACTTTCCCTGGCTTCATTTATCCACCCATCCATCCATCTATCCTTCCAGCCATCCGTCCGCCTATCTATCCATCCGTCTATTCACTCATCCATCTACCTATCCATCCAACCTCGTATCCAGCTTCGGGAAACAAAAATAAAGAAAATGACGAGGTAGAACTATAAAAGTAGAAGAACAAGGTGAAGTATGAAACAGAATGTTGGAAAGATCGAGAGAAACATTGCCAGATCTCATCTCATAACAAGTAATACAAAATCCAAGTAATTCTGCCGATGAATTCTTTGATTCTCATACGTTCGCTTTCTCTCTATCTCTTGCGAGTATTTCACGTTGTAGTCAGCGAATGGCATGCAGGCTTCTTCAGTGTCATGCCGGAGCATTGAGCCACATCCAGCAATGACGACAACGACGTTGTGCTTACGATGACATCCTACGCCGAAGTCGATGCTGACAACGACAACGGCAAGCCAGCTTCAGTGACTCGTGTGTTTTCTGTGTCTCTATTGATCTCTCTCCTTGTGCACAGCCATTTGGCGCACTCTCCTCCTCTTCTCCTCTCACACTCTCTTCACTTCTTTTCTCTCTCTCCTCTTTTTCTCTGGCTGCCGTTCGACCACGCACACATGCCAAGCTTCAACGTCTTTCTTTACTTCGCTCACGTATAGACAGAAAGTGAAGAAAATTTTTTTCAATTCATTACAATCCTTTCGATTTATTTCAACGATAGTTGAAATTGGAATTACCAGTCGTTTTGTTTTAAATAAAAAATCTGAAAATATTAAGGCAGCTTAGACAAAAGACCCGAGTTGCTCGAACGAGCGCGGATCATCTTTCCTACCTACGCTCTCTTCTTTCCTTCTTCTTTCTTCTTCTTCTTCTTCTTCTTCTTCTTCTGCCTCCTCTTCTTCTTCTTCTTCTTCTTCTTCGTTTCCTTTTTACCAAATTTCCATCTTTCATTTTGCTCAGTTTTCAATCCAATAAATCACTAAATAGATGGTTAAACTCAATTAGAGATCACCTCGAATACTTTGACGATGAAATGATAATATTGATATAACATAGGTGGATTGGAAGTCATCAGTACGCTCACTTTCCTCAGTAAACTTGTCCCTTGTGCATTTCATTTTTTTATTGTTGATATCATTCTGTGACGACTGAGGCTGATTGTTACTCTTCGAAGCTTTCTCCTTGTTTTGTTTTCATTTAGATTTTCTCATATTTCAAGTTAAGACATATCTTCTGATTTTCATTTCCTCAATTCGCATTCTTTGAAACTTTATGGACGTTACATAAAATCCCTGAACTTCAATCAATAACGGCTCTTCGTTTAAGGTGCCTCTTACTGCCTCTTTCGTACACTTTTTTTGGTCACGTCTCTATCCATAATTAATTGATTATTCTATTAAGATTGTGGTGTATAATATTTTCACAATTTCTCTTTATGGTTGATTTAATTTTTGAATTCTTCTCGTTGATTTTTGATTTTTCTTCCTCTTCTAACCTCCTTCTTTCTCTCTTGGCGCATCTTTTTGTGATTTTGTTAAAGTTGAAGCAATCGGCAGATTTCGAACAAATTCGCCGTTAGCTACTTTTTGAATTGTTTGATTTCGCAAATTCTGAACACACCCACGTACCATTAACTTCGAATAAGTTTTGAACGCGCAGTTGCAACCAACAACTTATGATTCTGCATAAGCTGCTAAAGATTCAAAAAGCCTCATGCCTCCGGACATGTTTAATGTTTGTGTGTATTTGCGCCAAAGTAAAGGTTTCAGTAGTTCAATTTTGGCATGTGAATTTTCGTAAATGCTTCATAAAACATGATTATATAAAGCAAGCTCGCATTACGTTTTACTTGTCAGCTGTCTTTTTTCATAAAAGAAAAGCAAAAAAACTGGATGAATTTGCAATTATATCAACAATACCTACTGAATAAATGAGATATGTAGTGGGACATTTCAAAACAAACGTTTCATAAAGTATTAGTCTTAATAGATTAAAAGAATGAAACGCGCTTTTGCTAATTGGAAAACTAACGCCTTTTGTGAATTCTAAATGTGTATCTTTTTATAAATTCGTTGCAGCCTCAATCATCCGTTCCTCATCTGATTTGAAATTAGAATGAGCAGTCGATCTCGCTTACAACGTTTAACTTAGATAATATGTTGATTATATGCGAGTTTATTCTTTTCGTTATCGCCTTTCTCATTTGTAGTCAAGAAAGTTAATTCAATTTGTTACTGCGGAACTTGTTACTTTCGGCTTTCTTCAAACTATTATTAGGATGTTGTTCTGATTTCGAGTCATAAGGCATATGAAAAACTACTGGAGGCTTCATATTAGTTTTCGTCATCAACGTTTTCATCTTCTTATGCGTCTTCTTCTTCTTTGATATACCCGTCATTGTCCTTGTCAAGTTACTTGTCTATTTCTCTTTTTTTGCTTTTCATTTTATCTTGAATGGTCTTTGTAAAAAGCTAAAAAGATGAGTTGTGTAAGTTGAATACAAGACATAGGAAGACAATGTGAAAGGAAGAGTCAGCGAAGATAGAAACGAAAGTTGAAGACGAGT